GAACACCAGAAGGCAGATGCTCAACGCAGGAGCTGCCCCCTGGTGGTCAGTGCGCTCCCACAGGGGGCGTGCCATTCATCCAGAAGCCCTGAGCTGGGTTCACGGCTGGCGAGCACAGCAGCGCTCCCGCCTGCGGGACATCTCCCAAAGGCTCCCAGACTTCGAGAGGGCGCAGGCCAGGCAGAGGGGGAGCACCCCCCCCCCCCGCAGTGCATGAATTTCGTGCACCGGGCCTCCAGTACTTTTATAATAATACTAAAACATTATTTAGCTGTTTTCACTTTCATTCTTTTATAAGTGCCCTTTCCAGAAGCTATGTGATATGTTGTGTGATGTCAGAACAGATTGAATGCAGAAGCAGCTATGAGAATCCAGCTATGTTTTATTAGTTCAATATTAAGGAGATTTGCAGAAATGTAAAACAATGCCACTCTTTTCACTAAATTTTTCTTTTTGTTTTGGAAAATTGTATTATTATATGAACATGTGTTTTATTATTTTATGTGTTTATTATTATGTGTTTATTATTTTAAAAATAATTAACAAATATTTTTAAATTCCTGTTTTAATTTCTATTTTGACAACTATTGGTAGATGTAACCTACATAAACAAAAGCTCTTTGAGGAGCTCAATAATTTTTTTTTTTTTTTATTGTTTAAAGTATTACATCATTGTGGCAGAATGCACGGCAGAATGATCAGCCAGAACTCTGGGGGAGGAAAGTTTAACTTGTATTTCACAGATCTGCTAGTTCAGGGGAATTCCAGATCCAAAGCCTGAACTGAACTCATGGGGAGGCTCTGACCTATATATCTCCTCTTGTGGAGAGCCCCTGAGGGTCCCTGCAGTGCCACCAAAGTCAGTGTTGGGGGGCCCTGGGGGCATGCTCCACAGCTCCGCCCAAGTCAGTCAGAGTGGGGAAGTAAGACTACGGTTTTAACCAGATACTGAACTAGGTTGCAAGCCCCACCTCCCCCATTTTCCTTTTTAACATATGTCTCCCTTTTCCCTTGACTGACCCCCCACCCCCACCCCAGGCCACTCCCATCCCTGAGGGCAAGTCCCACCACGCCAGTGTCTGTGTCCATTGGTTATGCTAATATGCATGTATACAGGTCTTCAGGTGATCTCTAACCCCCCCTCCCCTGCCTTCTCTCTGAGGTTGGAGGGTCTGTTCTGTGCTACCATGTCTCTGGATCTATTTTTATTCATCAGTTTATGTTGATCATTATATCCCACATATGAGTGAGATCATGTGATATTTATCTTTCTCTGACTGATTTATTTCGCTTAGCATAATGCTCTCCACTTCCATGCATGATGTTGCAAATGGTGAAAGGTCCTTCTTTTTTAATACTAGCGTAGTCTTCCATTGTGTAGCTGTACCATAGTTTTTTATTTTATTTATTTAAAATATATTTTATTGATTTTTTACAGAGAGGAAGGGAGAGAGATAGTTAGAAACATTGATGAGAGAGAAACATTGATCAGCTGCCTCCTGCACACCCCCTATTGGGGATGTGCCCACAACCAAGGTACATGCCCATGACCGGAATCGAACCCGGGACCCCTCAGTTCGCAGGCCAACGCTCTATCCACTGAGCCAAACCAGTCAGGGCATGTACCATAGTTTTTTAATCCACTCATCTGTTGATGGGCATTTAGGCTGTTTCCAAACCTTAGCTATTGTAAATTGTGCTGCTATGAACGTAGGGGTGCATATATACTTTCTGATTGGTGTTTGTGGTTTCGTGGGATATATTCCTAGAAATGGGATTACTGGGTCAAATGGGAATTCCATTTTTAACTTTTTCAGAAAATGAGGAGCTCAATAATCTTTAAGGTTTCATAGTTCTTAAGGTATCTTGAGGCCAGAGTTTAAGAACTGCAGTATTAGTGGAAAGTGCCATGTTTTCCATAAGAGGAAAACCATACTTGACCAATTTGTTGGAGATCATTGAGTAAATCTTTGTATATTTAAGTATGTGGACTTTGAACAAATTTTAAAGATCCTTAAAGTTTGCCTAACACACACACACACACACACACACACACACACACACACGTGCGCGCGCGCGCACACACACACAGATTAAATGAATTGTTGGAAAATTTATATGGAAGTAGAAAATAAAGATTTTTTTGGATGACTAAATATGATCAATTAGTCTGATTTACACATTGAAAAGATGATTTGGAAGAATTATGGTCAATTGGAAAGATCACTGAACTAGGGATGAGAAAATCTGTTTTGTGTTCTGTTTCTGACTCCTTGATTCAATAAAGGTTTTTGAGTAAGTAAGCTTTTCAGTGTTTTGAATTTGCATTTCTTCAAATGAAGAATTGGAATAAATAAATTCTACCCTACTTTTTCTTTTACTCATTCAACAAATATTTATTAATTACTTAGGGTGTACTAGGCTCTTTTCTAAGTTATTATGGAAATAGTGATAACATATGCAATGTCCCTGCCTCATGAAGCTAACAGTTTAATGAGAGAGGAAGGGATAAACAAGTAAATAAATATATAAATATTAGAGGCCTGGTGCATGAAATTCGTGTATGGGTAGGGTCCCTAGGCCTGGACAGTGATCAGGGCCGATTCCTTCCCCCGGCTGCCAGCCACCGGCCGGGGCCTTCCTTCGTTCTGTGCCACCCCCTGGTGGTCAATGCATGTCATAGGGAGCAGTCAGACTCCAGGTTGGTTGAACTCCCGAGGGGAAAATTTGCATATTAGCCTTTTATTATATAGGATTTATAAGTTGTGATAAATACTAGGAAGGAATAGTGTGAAATGAAAAAGGAAAATGCTACAGACCTACTTACATAGGACTAACAGAGAAGGCTTCTCAAAGACCAGATGTATGAGGAGCAGCAGAGGGAATAGCTTTTAGCAAAGAGAATTGTGTGTGCAAAGGCCCTGAGGTGTGCCTAAAGTGTGATAGACATGAGAAATGCTAGGACAAAATGAGGTTGGAGAAGTTGACAAGGTCTTGGTCATGCAGAGCCTTATAGGCCATGGAAAGAAGCTTGCATTTTAGATGTGGGAAGGGTCCAAATGTATTCCACCTTAGAGAACTAACGGTAAGGGATTATTTGGCCAGACTAGCATGTTAGTGAATACAGCTTAAATTCATTGAGGTGGTTGTAATGGTAAATAAGCACCATTTCTCACAACTATACCTGATCAGTGTTCTCAGGGACAGACTAATGATTTAGGGAGTGATTTTTGTTTAATGTTAAAATCCTTGGGTTCTTACTACATTTTTATTTATGTTTATTTATTTACTCAACAAATAATGTATGAAATTACTAAGTTCATACCAGATTTTCCTATTAATCACATTTCTTTATTTTAGCGCACTTCTTTTTAACGAAGTAAAATATATTACTACCCTGGGAGACCTTCAGAATATAGAAAATGCTCTGAAAGGAAAAGCAGACATTGCATTTTCATATGTAAGAGCCATTGGAACACCAGGTATTTATTAACTTTTACTTTAATCTTTGCTGTGCATCTGTACTTGTGTGAGTATATTGAAGAACTTAAAGAGTATTTTGACCACAATCTTAATATTTTAAAATAAATTTAAAGCATCTTTATTCTTATGTTTTCTGTTTTTAATCAGGCAGCATAGTATAGTGGTTGAATAAGAACTCTGGAGTCATACTGCCTAGGTTAGACCCCCTGCTCCATCAATTACTTATAGTATGACCTTGGTCAATTTACTTAACCTATTTTCTAATTGCTAAGACTGTGAAAAAATTTGTGCTTACTTCTTAGTATTATTGTGAGGACCAAATAAGTTTGAATAATTAAAATAGATTCTGGCATGTGATAGGTGTTCTGTGTTAGCTGTTACTATTTTTATTTCCTTACAATACTCACGGTACATGGTGTAGTAGTTCATAGTATTCAGTAAATGTTGAGTGACTGGCTTTCTTTTTAAATGTTTTAGTATTTGCTGTTTATGATATATTTTTTCTTGGTTTTTCAAAGATCTAACTTTGACAATCAAGTTGTAAGTACAGAATAGGCAGAATATTTGATTTAACCTGATTGTGTTTTAGCCAGATGGGCAGGGGAGTGATTATAACTACTGACAATGGAATTGAAGCAGGGTTATAAGGCAGGAGAGGACCTGAGGAGGGTGGGGGGTGGCTGACAGTGAAAAGTGGTAAGACTGTGGGTCCTGGAGGGTTAGAGTTATGTGCAAAATGAGTGACCTAGTCAGATGGAGGTCTGGGGGTGGGAGGTAGGGGGAGGGAGGATGATAGATATTGAGATTATGGAGGAATTTACAGTGATTGCTAATTGAAGGCCTGCAGTGGGACCATAACAGTGAGTGGTTAAGGTAGGGTTGAAGAAAGATCATTGGAGTCTATGGAGAAGGCCAAGCATTTTGAATGGATCATTTAGGGCAGCGGTTCTCAACCTGTGGGTCGCCAATCTGTGGGTCGCGACCCCTTCAGGGGTCGAACGACCCTTTCACAGGGGTCGCCTAAGACCATCGGAAAACACATATAATTACATATTGTTTTTGTGATTAATCACTATGCTTTAATTATGTTCAATTTGTAACAAAATACATCCTGCATATCAGATATTTACATTACTTTTCATAACAGTAGCAAAATTACAGTTATGAAGTAGCAACAAAAATAATTTTATGGTTGGGGGTCACCACAACATGAGGAACTGTATTAAAGGGTCGTGGCATTAGGAAGGTTGAGAACCACTGATCTAGGGGATAAGAAAATCACCAAGGATTATGACAGGAGTAGTATTGGAGAAAATGACAGTGTGATGAGGGGGAATGACACTGGCTGGGGTGGTAGTTGACACTAACAAGGCAGAGTGGAATAATCTGATGAAATGCAATATAAGTGGTAGAAGGTTGGGTGGTGGAGGGGAAGGTAACTGTCTGGAAATGATAGTGAGGAGAAAAGAAAAAAAATATGAAAAGGAGGAAATCTTTAAAGAAGAAGTTTAAAAAAATTTCCCAGAACTGAAGGATTCAGGCTTTCAAATAGAAAAAGCCCATTGAGTCCCAGCATAGTGGATGAATGTAGAGCCACACCAAAGCATCTCATCTTAAAATTTCAGAATATTGGGAACAAAAATTATTCTCAAATTTTCCAGAAAGAAAAAAGAAGTTTCCAGTTAAAGGGTCAAGAATCAGAATGGCATTGGACTTCTCAATTGCAGCCCTGTAAAAATGAAGAAAATGGAGCATTGCTTTCAGAATTCTCAGAAGTAACTTAAACCTCGAATTTTATTAGCAGACAACTGTAGTTATGAAAGTAGAATAAAGACACTTTCAGAAATGCAAGCTCGCAAAAAATATGTATTCCATATATCCTCTTATGGGAAGTGCTAGAGAATGGGAGCAAGGGGGCAAATCAGTCAAGAAGATATGGGTAACAGGCCAGTTGACCTCATACAAGAGCGAGAATAAGAGGTTTCCAGGGTGATGATGAAGTGGGTTCTCAGGAGGAAATTTACACTGCAGGTTAAGTAGCAATAGTCCATATTGGACATTTCTGCAGAAAAGTCTCCAAGAAGAGAGAATAGTTAGTATACCTGGTATATTTGAAGTATTAAGAGGGTTAGACAACTGTGCTAAAGTTTAGTAAGAAATATATACAAAAATAAAAAAAGAATGGTATAAATATAGTGAAAAAAATTGTTTAAAAGTGCTCATTTTGGACTGTATGTCTCATTTGTAAGTAGTAATTACTGACTCATAATGTAAATATGGACTATTGATTTGATAAAAATTACAACAATATTGAGAAAATTGAGGGGATAGAAATATGAACATTTGTAGAGGGAGATTTTGGAGAAAAGAGCTAATTTATCATCTTCCACAGTGGGAAGTTAATAGATAATACTAACACAAAAATTAGGAAATAAGAGTATAAGAATGTAATTTAGAGACTTGGTGGTAAATACCCAAAGAAACAGTAAAAGAGTTGAAACTAATTGTCCCTTGGAAAGAAATTGGAAATGGGGTGGAAGGTGAGCTTTTTTTTTTCTTAATGTGTAGAATGATTTATCTCTTTAGACTATATTTAAGAACAAGTTTCATTAAAGAAAACTAAACCAGAAACAGCACACAGACATATATATATATAAAATATAACCTATAAAAGTTGTATGGTGGATTCATATTTTCTCCCCTGCTGCTAGGAAGAAGCTATCACAGATTTTTCATATGTTATATTCTCAAGTGTAACTTACTTTATACTCCTCCTTAATTCTTCTCTTACCTTGAATGGAATGACTTTTCGTAACTTCTTTAACCACTTGCATTTTCCCAATTGAGATCCCTACAAAGAATTTTTCTTTAAATATAATAGAGCACAAAAGGGTGTAGGGCAATCTGGACACTAGAAGTTTATGTAGAGCCACACAAACTAATTCTTTCTCCCTCTTATCTTTTCTTCAGAGCACAGGGCAGTCATGGAAGCTGCTTTTGTGTATGGGAACACATACCAATTTGTCTTAACTACAGAAATTGCTCTTTTGGAAAGTATTGGGTATGTATAAGAGGCGTATGACAACAATTTTAAGTTTACTTATTTCACATTATTTATCATTTCCATTATGCTCTCACAGCGTGGACTTAGAGAGTCTAAGAGGAATTATAAGCAGATGTGAATATATAAATGAAACCTGAAATCTCCTTCATTACAATCATCTGCTGTACTACCGTCTGAATTAATTTAAATATGCAGAAGTGATGTTAGACTAAGGTGAATGAAAACAATATGGATAAGCTAGAAGATGTGATCCTGTGAGTGACCAAGTATATTGTAGGAATAGATCTCCCACAGTGATGAGATAGGCAGCTTTCATAGTTAAGCTCCAGAAAGTATTTCTGAGAGTTCTGTAAGTTACTTTGTCATAATCTTTTTTGAATGGAATGTTTTACATGTTTGTTTGTTTGTTTGTTTGTTTGTTTATTGTCTACTGCCTAGCTTACAATTTTAGGTAGAGACCTTCTTTTGACTGTTGTCTGGGCAAATGTAGGATTAACATTTTTCTTTACTTTAGTATTTAGGGACACAAGGAATAACCAGTGCATTTTAAAGACTTTAAATTTGGCTTTAAAATGCTCTTCAGGAAAATTAATCCAAAGCAAGGCCGAATGGTGACTGTGTGACCTTTTTATACCATGCAAGTTTTTGAGTCCTTTTGCTGACCTTTCAGAAAATAGTGATTATCTATAATAATAAAAGCATAATGTGCAAATCAACTGAACAGCCAAACAGTTGAAGGACCATCTGCATGACCACGCTATGACACCTACTGGTGCTAGGCCAGCCAAGGCAGGTGCAATGTGATTGGTCAGGAGGGCCCCGCCATTGCCCCAGGATCACCCCGTAGAGGGAGGCCCAGGCCACCAGCCAGCGGGGTGATCAATCAGGGGCTCCACGATCACCCCAAAGAGGGAGGCCCAGGCCACTGACTGGCAGGCTGCGGTGGGTGAGCGGGGCCTCCCTCTGCGGGGTGATCGATTGCAGGGCTCCCAGACTGCGAGAGGGTGCAGGCCGGGCTGAGAGACTCCCCCCCCCCCCCCAACCAGTGCACACAAATTTTGTGCACTGGGCCTCTAGTTTTTTTTTTTTTTTAAATATATTTTATTGATTTTTTACAGAGAGGAAGGGAGAGAGATAGAGAGTTAGAAACATCGATGAGAGAGAAACATTGATCAGCTGCCTCCTGCACATCTCCTACTGGGGATGTGCCCGCAACCCAGGTACATGCCCTTGACCGGAATCAAACCTGGGACCTTTCAGTCCGCAGGCCGACGCTCTATCCACTGAGCCAAACTGGTTTCGGCGGGCCTCTAGTTTTATAATCACACAAAAGTAATTAAATCCCATTTTACAATTCTGTGAATTTAGAGTTAGTACATAGAAAACTGATAAAGTTAAATAATTTGGGGCAAGGGGGATGGGTTGGCAGAAAATAACGTTTCTACAAAGTGGAAGTTATAGTTTTTGTGCTTTTTTGTTGTTTTTAATCCTTGCCTGAGGACATTCTTTCTATTGCTTTTTCAGAGAGAGTGGAAGGAAGGGAGGGAGGGGAGAAAGAGAAACAGAGAGAAACATGGATGTGAGAGAGACACATTTACTGGTTGCTTCCCACCAGGGCTGGGGATGGAACCTGCAGTCCAGGTACGTGCACTTGACCGGGAATGGAACCCGTGACCCTTCAGTGCTTGGGCCAACGCTCTAACCACTGAGCCACTGACCAGGGCAGAAGTTACGTTTTTATTGCTCTGTATGGCAGCCAGCATTCCTTTTTTATTAGTCTCTTCTTAATCATTTTGCTGGTTCCCTCATTAATGAGTTAAATAAAACTTTGATGCATGTTTACTGTTGTATAAGAATTAAGGTTTTTAACAATTTGAGAGTTATACTGACAGTACCATAAAGCATTATTGTAAGTAGTGATACAATAAGCAGTTGTGTAGCCAGCTACTTTGCTACTCCCAACTGCCAATTTCCTATCCTGGAGTAGGGGAAGCCTTGTTATTCTCCACCCCATGGTGATGCTATGGTAGCATCATAGTTTCTCTTAGGGTTAGTTGTTTGTACTTTCTCTTGTTTTACCAGCTTGTTTTCCAGATAATGAATTAATTGCATGTAACGGTGGCACACATAAAATACAAGGGGTGGTTGTTTACTGAGAGTCTATATATAGGTCCTATCATTTACTTTACAAATCCTGTTCAGCAAGATTTACTACATATATTTTTTATTCTGACCTATGACTAAACACAGTAATATTTTGGAAGAGTATTTGCTCTTCCCCACTTTTAAAATGGGAATTAAAAAATGTACAGTTATCCTCTCTTTTTGTATATGTTGTATTGGAGATATTTGAATTCTCATTTGTTCATGGATGACAAGATGGTGAGGAGTCATACCTGGACCTGCTGTGACAGGGAAGGACTGTGGATAGAATACAGTGGTCCTATGATACCACCTCTGGGTGAAGTAGTTGCCTATAACTTTGAATTGTCTCCTAATGGGGGAGAGGTGAATGCCTTTTCTTCTTCCATGTGTTTATTCTTTCATTTAAAAAATATGTATTGAATACCTGCAGTGTGTTAGGCATTATTCCAGTTGCTGAGGCTATAACAGTGCATAAGAGTACTATTTTAATTGTTATATAACGTTGGATGTTAGTATGCTTGAAATTAAGTGTTGGTTAAGAAGAGTGTACATTGACAGGTAATAAAAGAGATAGCATGCCATGGAGACACTAGTTCTTTCTGCTGCCTCCCCATATTCCCTTCTTAAAGAATCTGTGTATAGGCCAAGAAGGGTGTTACCCTCACCCCATACATATCACATTCAATTAAATCAGAGGCAGCTACCTGACCTAGGGCCAACCAATTCATTTGTTTACCTGAGCAAATGCCATCCCCTCTCCCAGAAACATAGAATTGGGCATAGAAAAACAATTATACAATCTTGTGGCTCTCTTGCTCACAGGATTGTTTTGCCCATATAGAAGTAAAGCTGAGAACATTGTCTTTATACAGAGTTGGGAGTTGAAGAGTATTATTGGCAAAATGAAGGTCTTGCAGAACTCTTGCTGTTCAGATCTCTACATTTACTCCCTGATCTAATTACTTTAATTTTCCTTGTATTCTCTGAGATACTCTCCTAAATTTCCAATAAATGTTTCTCCCCCACCTCCCTTTTTGGTTTCTGTTATCTATCACCAAATAATCTGTGATTAAGTAACTTTCCAGCATTATTATTTCAGAGGTTATGGTATGAATTCTAGGCTCAGCTATGTCCTGCTCTCAACACTTTCCTTTCAGTGTGTGACTATTAGGGTCCTCCTCAAAAAGTTATGTGCTTTGTGCCTTGGCTATACTGTTTCTTTTGTCAGAAATACCCATTTGCTTCATCTTCTTGGAGAGGTCTTTTTCTCCCTTGCTGTTTTTAATCTCTATGATGGTCCTCCTGAACCCTTTTTCTCTCCTCCCCAACTTGAGGCAGAATTAAATATTTCTTTGTTTTCCATAGCACTTTGTATATTGTAGCACTTATAACCTACATTTTAATTGTTTTACTAAATATATCTCCTTTAGTGTAAGCCTCTCATGAATTTGAATTGTCTTAATCATCTTAGTCTTGTATTTTAGCATAGGGCCTGATATATAGTAGGTATTAAGTAAATCTTTGATCATTTTTTAAAAAACCATTGACTCTGTTAGAGATGCTTTAAAATTGAAATCAGTGAACCTTGGAACTCAGTTTAAGCATGTAGCAAGAAATAAAACAACATTTTAAAAATTAAAAAATTTGCAATATTTTGCCAAACTCTACTAATGCCATATGAAGACTTTTAAAAATGCTATTTTAATTTTGGCAAATCTTACTTTCCCACTATAAGTTTATCTTTGGATTCTCATATTGAAGGGAATGCCAAAACTCAAATTATAAGCCATATTTGCTGAGTTTTATAATAGTTCAGATACAACCTTACCAACTCCCACGAAGTGTCACATGGTTTCTATCTTAAGGCATGTGTTGGCTGAAGTTTATTCAAAACAGATTTGGGTTTAAATTAAACCTAGAAAATTTGTGTTTGAAAGCTATATTTAACATATCTCTAGAAAGGAAACACTATTTGAAGATAATCTTATTGTCCTCAAGGTGACAGCCTTTTATTTTAAAAAAATATTATGTTGACCTACCTATAACCCAGTTTAGAAGCTACCATGAGAGAATTCAGGAAAATAATAGCTTCATGTGGTTTATTAAAAATATTACAGTTAATTTTCTTTAATATTCTGTATCTTTAGCTTAGGTCCATTTTATTTTAATGTTACACTCTTTTAGGCTTTTACTAAAACATTGATTCAAAAGCATGAGACTTAAAGAGATGTGTGAAGTCTTTCTGGATGGTAGAAGGATCACACATCGAACTTCAAGTGAGTCTGTCCCTGATTTTTAATTTACAGAATGGAGGATATAAAATATGCACATCTGTACTTTTTTCATTGTAAAGCAGTCTTGGACTTGACCCAACAATGTAGAAGAACACTAATGGGACAGCCATTGACTACACTGGACATTTATCGATTTATTAAGTCAATGGAAGCACCTCTGCTGGTATGTGTCTTATTTTAATGTATTTGGATAATTCATATGTTAAATTTATTGCTTTGATTCACAGATATGCATTTTACTTAGATGAGCTATATCTTTTCCCCCTTTTTTGAACATATGTCTTGAATTTAGGGGGAATTTAGGAATATTTCCTTATTAAAGGTAGAAGAGATGATACATTGTTCAAAAAATGAATATTTCATGCCTTGAAGTGTTGTATCGAAACCCAAATAGAGTCTTGTGTAGTGGAATTATTCTGTGGTAGTTATAATGCACTGTGACCACGCTGAGATCACAAAGACCACATCATGGTCAAGAAAAGATCTCTTGTGAATATTTTGATCACTATTTTAAAAGTTGGTAAATATTGGCAGTATAGCATTTCTGATGTTTCTCTTTTCTTAGTATTAGCCTGGAAGAATTTTATGGAGACTCAGTAGGTATTGGTGATCAGCAGACTTTTCTCTGAAAGTTCAAAGGGTTGTCCTGAGCACGTGTAAAACCTTCAGTAAGCCTTTTCACTCAGCACGTCCTTTTTATATAAAAATGGTGCAGGTGTATTAGAAATAATTCAAACAGTGCAGCAAAGTGTAAAGAAAAAAATTTAAAGCCGCCTACTCCCATCATTCAGAAATAAGCTGTTAGGTAATCATCACACCAGTCATAAAGACACTCACAAATAGAGGGATGAATGGATTAATGGATATATCATATTGCATATGGTATTTTATAGTAAGAAGTATTATATTTAATCTTATTTGAATTTAATAAGAAGAAAAAGAAACTGGTATAAAACGAGGGATTATGGAACTTTAAAAAATATATATGTTTTTAGTGATTTTAAGAGACAGAGGAAGAGGGAGGGAGGGAGAGAGAAACATCTATCGGCTGCCTCCTGCATGCCCTTTACTGGTGATTGAGCCCACAACCCCAACATGTGCCCTGACCAAAATTGAAATGGCAACCTTTTGGTACATGGGTTGATGATCAACTGAGCCACCGGCCAGGGCAGGATTATGGAACTTTTGATAAACCATTTCTTCATCATTAGAGGGCTCTTAGGAAATATTGTCCTAAGTGTTGAAAATGATTATGAAAAACATTAGGAAGTTAAATCATTTTTTAAAAACTATGTTTTCATTTAAGATAGTATTGATTCCCCCCCTTGCTGTGAAAGATGAAAAAATTAATTTGAGTTCCCTTTACCCTGCTGATTATTGTCAGTTTTGTATTATTTTTACATTATTAAGATTTATAGTATTTGTTATGTTCTGTAACCGTAGTTCCCACTTCTTAAAAAGCCTTGCTTCTACATTTAAATAGATTCAGAGCTCACCAGTCCCAGTTTTACTGGCCTCATTCCTGAGTTCTTCGAGTCAGTTTTGTTTAGTTTGATTTTGGCTTCAAACACCGTTTTTTAAAAAGCAGTACATAGTCTTTCCTTTCTCTTCACACAGAGAAGGAGCATTTATCTTATTTCCATGGGGAGAATACTCTCTGAATTGGTTTTGATCTCCCATTTCACCATAGAGCCCCAAAAGGAAGATATCAGTTCACTGTACAGTTCTTTACTATTTCTCTCCCGACTCATTTCCTTTAATTCCAATATTGAGATATTAAGAATTCTGTCTACATAGCAGTTTTGTTTTTGTCATTGGGGGCAGGATTAGGACTCATCCCAAGATTTACTAAAAATCTGTTTCTTCTGTGGCTACAGCATTCTGACTTGAAGTTGTGCCCTTTTTCTAAAATTTCTGCTCATGAATTTTCTCTTGCTGTTCTAAAAACTTTTTTTTTTTAAAGATAGGTAATGAGAAGGGAGATTCTCGGGTCTTATTTCACTTTGTTATACTTACCAGGAATTATGTAATCGTAGTTTTGAAATCAGTGCCTGGTTGGAGAGCCAAGCTGAGAATCTAAACCCTAAACCATGGTGTCAGCCTAGAAAGGCTCGGCAATCCAAGAAGCACAGGATGGTGGACTCAGGGTTACTCAAGATCCCCAGAAAGGGATCTTCCGCCTGAAGTCTGGTGCTAGCATTCCAGGAACTGAGAGTGGGAAGGGGGCTGGGTGGCCTCTCAGTATTTGCTTACTTAATTCCCCTGCTTTTGGCATGCTGTTCACACACTCTGCTGTTCTTAAGCTCCCGTCTCCTCCCCCCATTTCTCCTGGTTTGAGGGACAGTTTCCTATGCTCATGGAATTGGGGAGGGGAATCTGGGGATCTTAACTGCTTCTCCAAAGTTTTTACCTATTCCTCCTTTTAAAAGATCCTTCCTGCCATCCCTCTTCCAGTATTTCTTTACCAGCTTCAGAGATACCAGGCACTGACAGTTCCTGAACCATTGGAGGATTTATTCTGCAGTTAAAATGGAATTGTTTCTTAGCTTTCTTTCCTTCATGGCTTAGAGTTTTATTTTGTAGAGTCAGTGATTCTGTTCTCCAGCATTCAAAATTTTGCTGACTTTTCTCTTTTCATTTCTTCACGTATGTATGTTTTTCTTTTTTAAAAAATCCTACTGCTGTAGTTTTCCTGGGATTTCTGGAGGGAGTGAAATTAGCTGTGTGTATTCAGGCTGCTGTGGTAACTCAGATGTTCCTCATTGTTCTGTAATGTGCTATTACATGTGAAATTCTTATATGAAAGAGTGCATTCCTTAGTTATCTCTTCTATCTTATATGAAATATCTATCTTTATTAGTACCACACTGTTTTACTTGTTGTTTTTTTTTCTTTATACTATGCTTATTCCTTATGGGTTGTAATTTTATGTTTAACCTCTTATAAACTTTTGTTAGTTTTATAATGCTTAAACCAAATAGGTACATTGGAAGCATTAAACTTAGAAATTATGAGACCATTTCTGGTAATGTTAGATTTATTTCACAGACTTGTTCTTTTACTTGTGACTTTATTAATAAGAATCAGCAAGGTTTAAATCCAAATGTTGGAACATTATTATCACATTTTGTTCTTTTTTTAAATGAAGACTGAAGTTGCTGAAGATCCTCAGCAAGTTTCAACTGTTCATCTCCAACTAGGATTACCTCTGGTGTTTATTGTTAGTCAACAAGCTACATATGAAGCTGATAGAAGAACTGCAGAATGGATTGCTTGGCGTCTTCTGGGAAAAGCAGGAGTTCTGCTCTTGTTAAGGTATCTTAAATGTGCCTTATTCACTGGGTTTAATAAAACACTAATATTTTTCTCATATTTAAATGTGGTAATCTGTTCACTTGTAAATAAACTCAAATCTGTAATAGATTCTAATATTGTTAGAACAAGTTGCTGAGCTAAAGTCCAAAATTATTAGCATGGTTAAAATTTAGACATTAAAATTTATCTAAAGGAAGATATAGATAAAGATAGAGATCAGAAAATTTGGTCTGTATTTATATATGAAATTTCTGAGTCATGAAATTGTCATCTTTTTTCATAAATTTCTTTTTAGTATGAGAGCTTACAGTTCTATTTTAGATTGACATCCTGGATGACTGTTATCCTTCAGATTAGCTACATAACACATTTATTTCCATTTTGAAAAAGGGACTCTTTGGAAGTGGACATTCCTCAGCAAGCTAATGTGGTCTTCAAAAGAGAAGAGGTTAGTCACTTTGTGGCTTGGTCTACAATGCCTACTTGTTTAAAGTAATATATGCGTATTATAGAAAAATTCTGTAAATTGCCACTATTCCAACATACTTGCTATTAATATTTTGGTGTGTTTTTTTCATTTGTTAGTTTGTCTTTTTCCCCATATTCATATACAGTCAAACCTCATTTCCGGAACACCTCCCATCTCGAACAGTTGAGTTCTCGACCAAGTTGTTCACAGAAAAAATGTCTCAGTTGTCGAACCAAACTTATTAGGTTTTCGATTTTTGAATTGACAACCCTTTCAGGCTGATACCTTAGGATGACAAAAAGCATCTCCCAGGCAACACACAAAAGAGAATGCTTTTGTTGCTGGTAAAATCCACCTTACCATAGCTTTAAAACATAAAGAGGCCATCAAGAGTGCTAATGTTGCTAAGGATGTGAAAGAAACAATGATCATAGGCAACTGAAGAAGTAGAAAAACTATTGTTGATTAGGATAAATGAAAGCAGTTAGCTAGTGATGGCATTTCAGGGCCAATGATATGTGAAGAGCAAAGATACTGCATGCTGCCCTGAAGGACACCCCTGTAAGGTCTGCTGAAAGTGATTAAGGCTAGTAGGGGGGTGGTTCGATAAATTAAGAAAAAGAAGTGTTTATTTATAGAGTAAACAGTACATTAGACATGTACTGTATATAAGAAAGGTTAGCCCTTGCCGGTTTGGCTCAGTGGATAGAGCGTTGGCCTGCGGACCTAAGGGTCCCGGTTCAATTCTGGTCAAGGGCACATACCTCGGTTGCAGGCTCCTCCCCGGCCTGGGCCCTGGTCGAGGTGCATGCAATAGGCAACCAATTAGTGTGTTTCTCTCACATCGATATTTCTCTCTGTTTTCCACTCTCTCTCAAAATCAATGGAAAAATAACTTCAGATGAGGATTAAAAAATAAATAACTTTATTAAAAAAAAAGGTTAAAATGGAATCATTTGGGGGCCTAGAATGGGTTAATTCAATTTATTTTATTTCTAATGGGAAAAAATGATTTGGTTTTGGAACAAATCACTTCTTGAACAGCCTTTGGAATGAATTAAGTTTGAGAACCAAGGTTCCACTGTATGTGTTTATATATTTTTAAAGAAAATTTGGATCGTGCTATATATCTTACTTTTCACTTAAAATGATATTTAATTACTTATTATTGTGCTGTGATGCCTGCCTTTGTATTCTGTTTTGAATAACACTGATTCTTTTGGCTAAATTTTTAGAAGTGAAATGTGTCAAAGGAAATGGAAAATTTTAAGGCTTTTAAAATACATTGTCAAATTGCCCACCAGAAGGGTTGTAGGTTTGCTCCCCATTCCCGGTCGGGTCAAGCGCAGGAGACAACCAATCCGTATGTCTCTCTCACATTTATGTTGCTTTCTCTTTCCCTCCCTCTCTTCCTCTTTTCTCTCCCTTCCTTTCTCTCTCCTTCCTTCCCTCTCCCCTGTTTCCCCAGTCTCTAAAAATCAATGGAAAAAATATCCTTGGATGAGGATTTTTTAACAACAACAAAATAATCCTCAAACTATACACTTATAATTTGTGTTCTTTTCTCTGTGAATGTTATACTTCAATAAAAAAGTTTACCACGTCTGGCTGGCATGGCTCAGTGGTTAAGTGTCAACCTATGAACCAGGAGGTCATGGTTTGATTCCCTGTCAGGGCACATGCCTTGGTTGTGGGCTAGATCCCCAGTGTGGGGTGTGCAGGAGGCAGCCAATCAATGATTCTTTCATCATTGATGTTTCTCTCTCCCTCTCTCTCTCTCTCTCTCTCCCTCCCCCCCCCGCCGCTTTCTCTCTGAAGTAAATAAAAAATATATTTAAAAAAAGTTTACCACAACAATTTCTATGTATATTTGGAATAAATTCAGTTTGATTTTATTGATTTTTGATTCCTGTTCCTTTTAGCTCCATTATGTTTCTGCAGAAGTAAAAATTTTCTTGCTTTGACTGTAGTATTGAAAAGATGAAGATATGTGATATCAAAGAATAGACACACTTAAAGCTTTTTCTCTAGCTTTATTCTATTGTATAGTTTACTAAAGTAATCTAGTTGCCGTTGGGCATTAGCAAAGAAATTTTAATGGCATAATGTCAACTGGAATAGAATTTTGCATTCTTAAAATACCTGGGAGCAGATAGCATTTTTTATGTTTATAGCTAAATAGGCAGTTAAAACTTTTTAGTGGGATTATATTGATTGGCTCTTTCTGCAATAAAATTGTATATATATATTTCCATTTTATATTTAGGTAGGATTTACTGTTACGTGTGAAATGTTTCAGATTTCAGTATAATATAATTGTGTAAAAAAGTGAGACTTCCTTTTTAAATTTTATTTATCACTTACAGTTACATTTAATATTATTTTACATTAGTTTCAGGTGTTTAGCATAGTGGTTAGACAATCATGTACTTTACAAAGTGTTCCTCCCCATATTTCAAGTACTGACTTGGCACCGTACATATTTATTACAATATTATTGACTATATTGCTTATGCTATACTTTACATCCCCATGACTATTTTGTAACTGCCAATCTGTAGTTCTTAATCCCTTCATCTTTTTCACTTAGTTCCTCAACACCCCCCAACCCGCAAGCGAGACGTCCAGTTATTTTTTTTGCCATCTGTTTTTATAGTGCACGCTATCTTTTTATATAAAGTATGCTTGAATACTTTTCAGAGTGACTGTGGAGTTAATTTCTTCCTTTGGTTTTATTTAATTTAAAATCTAAGTTCAAAGGTCTAACTTCATTGTAGTGTCAACAAGTAAAATATTTTTATATTAAAATGCTTTATTATATTTTAGTTATGTTTCTTAAAATTATTTGTAGGGGATGCCAGTGGAATTTTTGGTGTTACATGATGTTGATTTAGTAATATCCTATGTAGAAAATAACACATACATTGAGGAAAGACAAGAAGATGAAGCTGATGACATGGAAGGTCCAGATATGGGTAATATGTTTTGTGATACTCACCTCACCCATTCCTGCCCAGCATCTATTACATCAGGAAAGTTTAATGAATTAACTTTCTCATAGAATGTATTCACATTCAAGACTAGGAAAAAACCTGAAGAAATTTATTTTGAGTAATTTTATCAAATTGCTTAGGTGAAAAGACATAAGGATACTGTATTCTGTTTAGTGTGATAACTTTCTTTGTTAGGCTTCTAGCTTTCGACATCTGTACCTTTATCTTCCACATCAGTTCTTTCAACCCTACTGGACTATTCCATGTTTAAAAATGACCCAGGAATCACACATGGTGTTTTATTTTTATTATTCCTATTAGGAAGTGAAATTCTAACAAACATTATATTTATAGTTGCAAATAAATCTGATTGTAAACAATGTAGGGAGTAAATTTCAATAGCATTTTTTTTTAATTAAATCTTTATTTTTCAGATTATTACAGTTGTTCCTCTTTTTCCCCCCCCATAGTTCCCCTCCATCCGGTTCCCACTCCACCCTCTGCCCTTACCACACCCCCCCCCCCACTGTCCTCAACCATAGGTGTACGATTTTTGTCCAGTCTCTTCCAGCACCCCCCACACCCCTTTCCCCCACCGAGAATAGTCAGTTTACTCCCTTTCTATGACCCTGATTCTATTATATTCACCAGTTTATTCTGTTCATCAGATTATTTATTCACTTGATTTTTAGATTCACTTGTTGATAGATGTGTATTTGTTGTTCATAATTTATATCTTTACCTTTTTCTTCTTCTTCCTCTTCAAAAGGATACCTTTCAGCATTCCATATAATACTGGTTTGGTGGTGATGAACTCCTTTAGCTTTTTCTTATCTGTGAAGCTCTTTATCTGACCTTCAATTCTAAATGATAGCTTTGCTGGGTAGAGTAATCTTGGTTGTAGGTTCTTGCTAGTCATCACTTTGAGTATTTCTTGCCACTCTCTTCTGGCCTGCAAAGTTTCTGTTGAGAAATCAGCTGACAGTCGTATGGGTATTCCCTTGTAGGTAACTGAGTTTCTTTCTCTTGCTGCTTTTAAGATTCTCTCTTTGTCTTTTGCTCTTGGCATTTTAATTATGATGTGTCTTGGTGTGGTCCTCTTTGGATTCCTTTTGTATGGGGTTCTCTGTGCTTCCTGGACTTGTAAGTCTATTTCTTTCACCAGGTAGGGGAAGTTTTCTGTCATTATTTCTTCAAATAGGTTTTCAATATCTTGCTCTCTCTCTTCTTCTGGCACCCCCATAATTCGGATGTTGGTACGCTTGAAGTTGTCCCAGAGGCTCCTTACACTATCTTCATATTTTTGGATTCTTTTTTCTTTTTGTTTTTCCGGTTGGGTGTTTTTTACTTCTTTGTATTTCAAATCTTTGACTTGATTCTTGCAATCCTCCAGTCTGCTGTTGGAACTCTGTATAATATTCTTTATTTCAGTCAGTGTATGCTTAATTTCTTGTTGGTCCTTTTTCATAACGTCAAGGGTCTCATTAGATTTCTTGAGGGTCTCACTAAATTTATCGGCGGTTTCTAGAAAATACTTGAAAAAACCTTATAAGTGTGGCTTTGAATTCTATATCCTGTTGTTTGCTTTCCTCCATTTCTGTCATTTGTGACCTGTTTCTTTGTCTTTGCACTTTTTTATGCTTCCCTGTGTTGATAGAGTGGCTTTCTATGCTAGGTGTCCTATAGGGCTCAGTGGGTCAGCCTCCCCAATTACCTGAGGTGGACACTCTTGGTGCACTCCTTTGTGGGCTGTGTGCACAGTCTTGTTGTAGTTAAGCCTTGATTGTTGTAGGTATCACTGGGAGGAATTGACCTCCAGGCCAATTGGCTGTGAGAATCAGCTGTGTCTGCAGTGGGAGAACTGTGCTGAAGACACCCTTCAGGGGCAAGACTTGCTTCAGTGGGGCTTTGGTGCTCACTGAGTCTGCCACTTGAGTGTATCCCTTATGGATCTGAGGAGTTGTAATCTGGATGGTCCCACTCTGACCACTGGGTACACTGGCTCTTGGATCTAAGGAGGTGCTAATTTAGCCTCTGCCTGAGGCTACCCAGCAGGAGCTATGGAGAGATCTGCAGATTCCCCTTCCTTTTTTGGAGTTTGGAGGTGCCCAGATGAGGCCCAGCTGTGAAGCAATGCAAGCTGCTGTGGGGCCTTGGGCCTTCTTTTGGAAGTTCTGGGTCTCTCTGACCCAGCTGCAGTTTGTTAGGTAATTTTCAGATTGCAAAGGGCCAGGCCTTTCACATGCAAAAGCCCCTGCTGGCAGCTTGGGTGGGGCGGGGTCTCAGAGAATCAACAGGGCGGAGCAAACAGCTATGGCTGCTCCTCAGTCCTACCCTAAGAGGCCCCGCGTCTCAGTGTCCTGGTAATCGCTGCAAGCACCTCTGAGAGAAAGCCGCCCTCGAGTTCTGACCAATGCCAGACAGTCCAGTTTCTCCCCGTATGAGTCTGGGTCCCCAGAGACTCGCCCATAACTGGAGTTCAGAGCAGTCAGGAGCTTGAGACTCTCTCCAGATTGAAAAAGACAACCGTGTCCTCGGTTGCCAACCCTTTCCACGTGCGCCTCCATACCTCTGCACTTTACTTCTGCACCTCCTCTGAGTCTCAGTGTGCTTTTCTCTTTCCTTCTAGTTGTAGAATTTCCACTCAGCCAGCCTTCCTCTGGTTCTGGATGATGTCCATTTTGTTTTTTAGTTGTATTTTTGAAGTGGTTGTGCCTCAATAGCATTTTAATACTTCTATTTAACATGTTATTTCTGTTTTTTATTGCTCTTATTGCTTACATTTTTGAAGTATTCTATAGTTTTTAAGGCTACTCCCCTCACATTCTTTACTTTGATTGTTATTCTCAGAGTTAACCAATGTCACCTTCATTTTGTGGGTGAAGAATGTTTGTTTTAGTCGAGTTAAATGATCCATCCAAAGTCACATAAATTGCATGTGGTGGAACCTGGATTAGAATAATCATTTTGAATTGAAATCTTATTTATGAGCATTATCATTCCATTTTTAATGGCATCAATCCTATTGGTAATTTCTCATTTAATTTCTCTCTTTTTCACTAGTCTATACTATCTTTAAGGCAGGGGTTATGTCTTGTTCATTCTTGTATCCCATTTAGTAAATACTTGAATGTTTTATATAATACTATTATTATGAACCCCAGGAAGGAAATAATTTGTATATTTTTTATGAGATCCATCATTATTATGATCAAAGTTTATATTATAAATTTAATAAGGACTCTGAGCTTTAACTGTTACCGGTAACAAGTTTCTTAGTTTGAGCTCTGTTCTAGTTCTTTTCTGATATGCAGAGCTTAGAATTGCTTGTTGTTGAAGCCAGAGTTCTCCTGTATAGCATCATCATTCCATAGATAGACCTGTGTTCTGGTCTCTTGTTCCCTGCTGTTTTCCTATCATGATTCATATATTCTAGTCTTCAGAGTCAGGAGAATTGCACAGTGTCAGTTTAATAAGATTTCTTTCCTCAGTAGGTGTCACCTGTTTCAAGCTTTCCATGTTTGCACATCCTCTATTGCTTTCGGACTCTCTGGCCTTAGTTTGCCCTCTGTGTTGCTTTCTCTTTCTACAACTCTCTACCCGCCTTCTTTCCCTGGCCTAGTTCTCATATTTCTTTTATAGCTCTGCCTTTTATTTGTTGTTTTGTTGTGATTTTTTTTTGGTCTTCCTATGTTTGTAATGCATATTGGCTCATGATATTGTGTGATACACGCCCATATAAATAATTTCCCCATCTTGTTTCATTCCCCATTGTATAGGAATGATAGATGAGGGTTAGGAAAGAGTTTGTTACCATGTAGAAAAATCTCCTTCAGAGGAAATGAGCACAGGGTAAATCAGAATAAAATGGATTGAGTTCTACAAAAGGACATTATGGAAAAAAATAATTAAACATGTACGACTTAAACAAGTGTGTGTATTGATGGGTAGGTGAAAGGTATAGCTGAGGAGTGAGGAAATTTACAAGTGAGGGTAGCTTATTAAGAGAGAGAGAGATAAAAAAGGGAAAGGAGGTCTTGGAACAAGATAGAGAAGAACGGACGGATTAGGAAATAAGAAAGGAATGGCAGGAAAATGAAAAACATTATATACAGGGTGGGACAAAAGTAGGCTTACAGTTGTGAGTACACAAAAGAGTTTATTCTTGTATTATTTATTATTGTATTATTTTCCATACACATAAACCTACTTTTGTTCCACCCCGTAAGAAATAAGAGAATAGCTTTTTTATCAATTTGAGTATTGAGGGCATAACTTTTTAGTGTCATAGAATGTGGTATCTAAAGTACCTTAACCCAGGGACACAGACGATAGTGTGGTGAAGGCCTGAGGGCAGGTGTGGGTATGGGATGGAGGGAGCCAGTGTGGAATAAAATGGGGACATCTGTAATAATTTCAACAGTAAAGATAGAAAACATAAAAGTACCTTAAAGTTAATGTAGTGCAACTCTTAAGTTTCACAGATTTGAACACTGAGGCCCAGAGAGTTATGAATTGCCTAGCATCATGCAGTTGAAAATTGCTGAGATGTACTGAAATTTAGATCTAGTATTTTATTGTAGAGTATTAGAAGTTATATGGAAAATAATACTTTAGTTCTCCAACTATATTGTCTTTCTCACTTTCTCCCTTTCTTTTACAGTGTTATTACAGGGAATTATGAACTTATAAAGTAGACAGGATATTAAAACAAATCTCCTGGTATCCATTATTTGACCCCATCCAACTGCCATTAACCCATGGCTATCCTGTTCTAATCACTACCATCCCTTATTTTGTAGCAAACACCAAATATGTAATTTTATTCATTAATGTTTCCCTGTGTATTTCAGAGATATAAGGATTTATTTTAAAGTTAACATAATTATTGCTATTACTACATCTAAAACCCAGTAATCTTTAATACCATCAGATATGTAGTCAGTTTTGCACTTGCAATTGTCATGCTCTATTCAGCTTATGTCAACTCTTCTGGGAAGCTTTAGTGTCTCTCTAATCAAGTTATCTAACTCTTCAGTGTTACCATATAATTTATACAAACTCCAACAGAATATATATGGCTTTAAAATGTGTTTTTTACCACATACATGGATGGATGGATGGATTGATGGATGGATGGATGGATGGATGGATGGATGGGTGGATGGATGGGTGGGCGGATGGATGGGCGGATGGATGGGTGAATGGATGGGTGGTTGGTTGGTCAGCCAGCCTATCTGTCTATCTAAATTAACGATGGGTTTTTACATATTCAGAATCCACCATAACTTGATGCATTTAGAATAAAAGCCAAACTTTTTGGCTCATATGGTCTCTTATGATCTGCCACTGCCAGCCTACAGTTTTCTCATACCATTATTCCTCCAACTCATCTTGTTTTCGTCAGTTTTGCCTTCCTTCTGTATCTAGTATATACTAAGCTCTTTTATGTCTCTGAGCCTTTGCATATGCTTATATTCTTCTTGCTTCAGACATTCTTTTGTTGATGCTCTACCTGGGAGACTTTGGATCTCCCAATCGAACTCTCCCTGCTATAATCTCTCACTGTATCCTTTTCCTTTTTTAAACTGATCACAATTTATAATGATGTCTTTATTCAGTGATGAGGTTATTATCTGACCTTTCTGTAGAAAGACTCTCCATGTGGTCAGGGAATATATCTGTTTTTATCTCCTACTTTCCCTGGTGTCTATCACAGTGCTTGTCATATAGTGAAAGCTAAATAAACACTGAACTTTTTTATTATAAATTAATATTTTATCACAAACAAAATATCATATTCATATTTTTCCAGACAAGTTTAAATAAGTGCTTCTGGACTTGACTAAAACATCACAGTTTCTGAGTCAAGAAGCACTTCAGAGTTATTTAGGGTAGGAAGCCAGATAACTAGAAAGTTTTCTAAACAATATGCATCTTTAATTAATAAAATAGTGCAAATTCAGAAGTTTTTATAGAGTGCCAAATTTTCATATGCTCACCTGGGAAAAGAGTTTAATTATTTTTAATTATACTTTTATATATACATTACATTCTTTTCAAATGTTTTAGGAATGCAAGATGATGAAGTGGCAGAAAGTGTTTACAGAGATAGGAAGAGACAGCTGCCTTTGGAACTCATAGTGGAACTAACAGGAGAGACATTTAACACGACAGTAATGGCTTCCGACAGCATAGTGCTTTTCTACGCTGGCTGTGAGTATGAATCTTTCAAGGAGACTATATTACATATTAGAACATTAAAATAGGCAGGTTTTATTTTTGCATTCTGCATATTGTGCAGTGTAAGATGACATAGCTTTCATATGTCCCAGGTAAGCTGCACATAATGAAACATTTACTTTTAGCTGATTCTGGGATTGTAAAACTGATTATATATATATATCTGACTTACAAATTGAAGGTTAATGATTAAACTAGATGTTCAGCTTGTTAACTTAGAAATATTGTGATTCAAGCTAATGCTTTTAATATGTTAACAGTTCTTATAGATTTACTAGTGACCTGGTGCACAAAATTTGTGCACAGGAGGGAGGGGTGTCCCTCAGCCTGGCCTGCACCCTCTCCAATTGGGGTCATCCCTCTCGCAATCCAGGACCGCTGGCTCCTAACCGCTCACCTGCCTGCCTGATCGCCCCTAACAACTCTGCCTGCTAGCTTGACCACCCCCAACTGCTCTCCCTTGCTGGCCTGATCACTCCTAACTGTCCCCCCACCCCTGCCGCCCTGCTCGCCCCCAACTGCCCCCCCGCCAGTCTGATCACCCCCAACTGCCCTCACCTCCTGGCCTGATCGCCCCTAACTGCCTCTGCCTCAGCCCCGCCACCATGACTTTGTCTGGAAGGACATCCGGAAGGTCTCCTGGAAGGTCTTCCGGTGTAATTAACATATTACCCTTTTATTAGTATAGATAGGAAATATATTGCTTTTCTCTTTAAATAATAGCCCTTCAACTATATTCCCTCCATTATGAATGCAGAAAATTTGTTGTGTTAGGAACATTCTTAAATGTTTGAAACAATATTGAGTTTGTATACTTATTAAGAAATAACAATTTTGGGAAACCCCTTAAATCTCTTTGTTTATTATGTATAAGTATGAATGCTTTGGAGATATGCATATTGTAATATCTGTTGAATTTTTTATTTTTATGTAGGGCAAGCAGTATCCATGGCATTTTTGCACTCCTATGTCGATTTGGCAGTTAAATTGAAAGGTAAAGGTATTGTGCTGTGGTATGCATGCTTATTTTCCTGATTCTGAGCTGTTGCTACTTGCAAAACTGTTTATGCTAAAGATGAAGAAAACTGCATAAAATTTCAGGCTATTAATGTTTTTGTTTCCAAGATTAAGTTAATTAACCATGAGCTTCAGAAATGCTTCTAAGCGTTCATTTTAATTGTCTTCATGGAACTGTCTTTAATTGAGTACTTGTGGTCACATAATTAATTTATAACCTTTTGCGCTGAATTCAGTCATTCAAGGCATTTATTGAGTGCCTACTCTGTGCCAGTTACTATTAAATATTATTAAATAAATACTAAATACTGTTAAATAAACATTTCACAGATAAGACCCAGTCTTACAGTGTAATCAAAGAGCCAGGCTCTTTTTATTTTAAGTATCCTATGAAACTTGACCCAGTGGCAGGAAAATAAGAATCCAAGGAATGGACTTTTACTCAAAATGCCTATTCCACGATCCTATTAGAGAGACAGAGAAAGAGAATGGATTAGAATAATGTTTTGATATCATTTGAATAAGTTAGAATGTATCATGCTTCCTATCTATAATATGACTTTCTCCTACTGTTTTTCTGGTAAATAGAAGCTATTTTAGTTGAATAGGTTTATTCTTGACTACTATTTGAATGTACTCACCATTTAGTTTTGAGAGAAACTAGTTTACGTGCTATTTCATTATTTAGTAAGTTTCTATGGGCAGGTAGCCTTTTACTGAGCTCACTGTACTTAGCGTATTACCTTACATTGCAGAATATCTGGGTGTGTGTTTTTTAAATCCTCACCTGAAGATATAGTTTTATTGGTTTTAGAGAGAGAGGAAGCTGGGGGTGGGGTGGGGGGGTGGTGAGAGAGAGAGAGAGACAGACAGAGAGACAGACATCAATATAAGAGAAACATTCATCAGTTGCCTCCTATATGTGCCCGAACTTGCAACCTAGATATGTGCCCTGATTGGGAATCAAACCTGCAGCTTTATGTTGTACAGAACGATGCTCCAACCAATTCAGCCACCTGGGGCCAGAATATCTGGTTTCATTAATTGTTGAATAAATGAATAACCTATTATAGTAGTTTCATGAGTTTTGTTTTATTTAGTGAAAAGTGTGTAGAAGCTATTTATATATTGGGGACTTTGTGAACTCAAGAAATTGATTCCAGAAAGTCAGTTCTAAACAGAGCATGTTCTGTAATAATAAAAACATCAGAGATTTTCAAAAATATTTCTGAACCATTTCTTTATCATTCATTTCCCAACCACAGTTGATTCTACTTTTGATTATTTCATTACCCAAGTGAGGAGATGATTAAGTCTTTAGTTACTTTGATTACTGATCTTTTAAATAAAGAAAATTCTCTTATTCTCTTTTAGGTTATCCTTTGTAGTTGCATTCTGTGGGCTGATTTTAAGTTTCCTTTTTTAAGGTACTTTAGCCTTATTGGGAATTTATTAGAAGAAAGGAAAAGGAGGGTGGTGAAATATAAACCATAATAAAATAGCAATTGGATAATGTTCCTGAATAATAGAATTATCTCCCCAGCCCATTTGACTAGTTAACAAATGAACAAGGAAAGATTCCCTTACTTTCTTCTCTATTCATGACCAAATTAAGAGACTATCTGACCCCTCAATGCAAGGACTGTGAGTTGTATGTGATTGTAGGATAAAAAAGCAGATTACCAGTCCAGGACTTGATTATCTTTTACATTTAGTTTGTTATTAACAATTCTTTTAGTAATTAGATATCAGATAAATGGACTTTTGAGGGCTTAATGTAGAAATGCATTAGTATAGGTAACTATAGTGTTTTGTATCTATGTTGAAGCCTAAACTATAACTTTTTAAACTAGGAAAATATTGTAATATTTTGGGCATTTAGTTCTGCAAACTTTCACATTAACTACTTGGGGAAAAGTCACTTTTCATCTCTTAATCCAAGACAATGAAGATTATTTTATACTCAGTCACAAGGTGGCAGCAAGTGTCAGGTGTTGATACTTATATTGTATCTGTAGCTAAGAGAATCTGTTTTTTCCCCTTCTTTAAATTAAGAACTCTTTTTGAAATTACTGCATTGATAAAGTATATGGGATATAATACTGCAGGCATCTTAGAATATTAGGTTATTCCAGTTGAAACATGATTAAATATTGGGACCATTTTATAGGAAGGAAAATTTTAAATTGGCAACTTTAACATAGGTAGCCTTACAGTGTTTAATGATATGTATCAATATCCTTTTTTCAGTGTCAAAGATAACATAAAAATTTTCAACTTGGACTGCAGGGACAATAACATTCTTAGTGGTGGTAGATTTGTTGAGGATGTATATTGAAGGCAAAGAACTGCATTTGTAACAGCACTATATCCTACTTGGGTGCCAATATATAATACTAGAAGCTCGATGCACAAAATTCATGCGTGGGTAGGGTCCCTAGGCCTGGCCAGCTATCAGTGTCGATGGGGCCTTCCAGTTGCCAGCCGGGGCCTTTCTTCATTCCATGCCACCCCCTGGTGGTCAGCGCATGTCATAAGAATGATAGAACTCCCGGTCTCCCGGTCCAACTCCTGTGGGAACACTTTGCATATTAGCTGTTTATATCTATAGATGGTACTCTATATTAACAAGTACCACTAGATATTTATTGACTAAATAATTATAATAAAGGATAAGAGAACTTTGTAGAGAAATCACTTAGCAGATCTAATTTTAGAAGGAATAGGATTTACCTTTGTTTATATGGTCATGTAGTATTCAGGTATTAATATATTTTAGTGTAAAATTTAAAATTTTTTCATGAAGAAATATAAGGTACATTACATAAATTTTTATACGGTACATACTATGTAACCAACATTGTACTAGGCAGAGGAATATAGTGTTGAATAAGATAGATTACATCCTGCCTGTATTGTCAAACAAATTGCTAACATTAAATCTAGTGATAAATTATCACTCTGTGTTGTATAACCTAGAATCATTTAAAATATAAGAGTGAATTTTTAGTATTAAAAATTTTTGGTGATAAAATATTAAAGTATTATATTCACAGTTTTAATTGTTATACAAAGAGTCCTTTGGTCTAATATATTAAAGTTTCTTTCTTTTTTTTTAAAAAAATAAGTCTTTATTGTTCAGATTATTACAGTTGTTCCTCTTTTTTCTCCCCATAGCTCCCCTCCACCCGGTTCCCATCCCACCCCATGTCCTTACCCTCCCCCCCACCATTGTCCTTGTCCATAGGTGTTTGATTTTTGTCCAGGCTCTTCCTGCACCCCCACACCCCCTTCCCCTCGAGAATTGTCTGTCCACTCCCTTTCTATGACCCTGATTCTATTATATTCACCAGTTTATTCTGCTCATCAGATTATTCACTTGATTTTTAGGTTCACTTGTTGATAGATATTTATTTGTTGTCACTTTGTTGTTCATAATTTTTATCTTTACCTTTTTTTTTCCTTCTTCCTCTTCTTAAAGAATACCCTTCAGCATCTACACTAATAAAAGAGAAAAATGGTAATTGGTGTACGGCGATACCGTTTTCATTGGCTAATCAGGGCTATATGCAAATTAACTGCCAACTAAGATTGGCAGTTAACTGCCAACTAAGATTGGCAGTTAACTGCCAACAAGATGGCGGCTAATTTGCATATGCAGGCACAATGCAGGGAGGGGAAAGGGAAAGCAGGAAGAAGCCCCCTGCCACTGACAGTGATCTGAAACCCAGGGGGGAGCTAAGAGCTGGGGGGCAGGGCAAAGGCGGCCCCAGGGCCGCCTTTGCCCTGCCCCCCAGCCATGATCGGAGAATCAGGCGCCTTTGCTGCCCTGGCCAGTGAGAGCAGGAAGTAGGGGTGGAGCCAGCGATGGGAGCTGGGCACGGTAGAAGCTGGCAGTCCCAGGAGCTAGGGGTCCCTTGCCTGGGCCTAAAGCGAAGCCCACGATCGCGGCGCCCCCCGCTGCCACTGCAGGTCCCCGCTGCCCGGGCCGGACGCCTAGGCCAGAGGCGTTAGGCCTGGGCAGGGGCGGAGCCTGCAACCGCAGGGAGCTGGGGGTCCCCTGCCCAGGCCTGACACCTCTGCTGGAGGCCTCAGGCCTGGTCAAGGGGCTGATCCGGTGATTGGTGATCGGAGGGTGATGAGGGTCAACTCCTCTGGCCGAGGTATCAGGCCTGGGTGGGGGGCGGAGCCGGGGATTGGGGGGATATGATGGTCCCCTTGCCCAGGCCTGAAGCCTGGGTCAGAGGCGTCAGGCTTGGGCGGGGGGTGGAGCAAGCGATCAGAGGGAGATGGGGGTCCCCTGCCCAGGCATGATTCCTGGGCCAGAGGCCTCAGGCCTGGGTGGGGGCCAGAGCCAGTGATCGGGGGGAGGTGGGGGTCCCCTGTCCAAGCCTGACACCTCTGGCGGAGGCGTCAGGCCTGGGCAAGGGGCCGATCAGGCGATCGGAGGGTGATGGGGGTCAACGCCTGAGGGCTCCCAGTATGTGAGAGGGGGCAGGCTGGGCTGAGGGACACTCTTTCCCCCCACACACACACACACCCAGTGCACAAATTTCGTGCACCGGGCCCCTAGTTTCATATAATACTGGTTTGGTGGTGATGAACTCCTTTAGCTTGTCCTTATCTGTGAAGCTCTTTTTTTTTTTTTTTTCCTTTTTTTTTTTTAATTAAATCTTTATTGTTCAGATTACTACATTTGTTCCTCTTTTTTTTCCCCCCATAACTCCCCTCCTCCCAGCTCCCGCCCCACCCTCCGCCCTCACTCCCCACCCACTGTCCTCTTCCATAGGTGCACGATTCTTGTCCAGTCTCTTCCCGCATCTCCCACACCCCTTTCCCCCCCAAGAATAGTCAGTCCATTCCCTTTCTATGTCCCTGATTCTATTATGATCACCAGATTATTTATTCACTTGATTCTTAGATTCACTTGTTGATAGATGCATATTTGTTGTTCATAATTTGTATCTTTACCTTTTT